CCATGGTCCCTTGCCCCTGCCCCAGCCTCCTCTCCCCTGCCCCCTACTTACCAGCTTGGAGTCAGCTGCAGCTCCCTGCCGCAGCCACCAGGGACTGCCCGAATCATCAAAGCTCTCCAAAACTTTTCCAAAGACTCACAGAACTTTGAATCGATTTGGACAGTTTAATTGGTCCCCTGATCTGATTCAGATTTGGAGATTCGGCCACCAAATCGGGCCAAATCTCCTCCGAATCGAATCACCACCTGAAGCTTTGCACAGCCCTAGCAGTTAAAGCTTTTCCTTGGGAATGTTTTATTCTCAATGCTGATAAAAATTGTCTTGAGGCCTGAATCATGGAAGTTTCTCTCTACCAAACCTTTTTTTTTAACTCACAAAAGAAACTGGAAAAAAGTGCGAGACTCCTGCTAGAACTGCATTACCACTAATAAACAGCACATGCTATCAACACAGATTCTGTTACCCATGCTGCGTTAAATAACATCATGTTCATTTTGGCCCCATCAGAAACATTAGAGTGGGAGGGAGAATCAATACACTAGATTGGAGTAGCCACTGGAAAAGAACAGAATCATTAGAGGTATTTTTACACAAGCACTGTGAGTCATGGAGACTTTAAAGAAAAAGTGCAAGGAGCTGACACTTTTCTTAACCTAAACTGCAGTATTGTCTGTACATTGAGCAAAAGATAGCTACCACTTCGGTTTCTGGACTCAGAAGTCCAAACAGGGATTTGGACTGTAGCTTCTGATTAGGCAAGTCCGTTGCTAAAACAAAATAACGAGAACAAGTTTTTTGACATAGCTTCAGCCATGTCTCCTAGCCATACGTTTTGACATAGAAAGCATGACTAGGAATATTTCACCCAAATAGCATTTCTTTTCCCAGAGACATCTGCAAGCAAATGATACTTCAGCCTAATGAAATAATGAAGTCCTGAAAATCTGAAAACCCGCACAAATGGCTCCCCACCAACAGATTAATTAAGCAGCATCATGAATGGAGTGAAGCATAGCCAGGTATCAACACAATCTTTTTGTCATTTGAGCCAGAGCTGAGGGAAATTTCCTCTTCATCCAGAGGGTTTTCCTGACTAATTAGTATCTTCCCCACAGCCTGGGCTATTTTTATGGTTTCAGCAAACTAAAAGAAAGGGAACCAGATCAAAAAGAAAATTCTTGTTTTGCAGAATTAACAGTGTGGCTGTTTCCCTGTTTCACTGTGCTCTCACAAAACATTCAGCACTCTTTTATGTATCAACACCAATTAAAGGAGCTATTACAGAAAAATAGATTATGGATTAAAAAAGCACTTTAGATCATTTATGTGGCTGTTAGTATGTGGGTATGGAAGGAGGCACTACCATTCAATGCCACCCAACACAAAGCCTGTATTCAAAGAAATGCTTTTAGAAATGACCTCAACAAGCTGGAAAACAGAACTACTCAGGCTTGGAGTATGCACCGACTTCCACAGCAATGTCAACACAAGCTTTCAGTTTTCCGACGTTCCTGAACCTTGGAACTAGAATCCAGGAACAGGATGTAATGAGAGGGGGTTAAATGGCTTTATGAAGCTGAATTCAGAACAGAGAAAGACGGCAGAGGCAAAAGGGTGATCCGCTTTTTAGCTGCCATGAGAACTTGTGAACACTACATAGGAGCATAGGACCAGATCAGGTATCCCAGGCTATTTAATCCAGTACCTTGCATTTTCAGGAAATCTTTTCCACAAGAAATCCCTGCAAAAATCTCTGCTTCAAACCCTTACACATACCTGCAAGGCACAATACCAAAAACTGAGAGCTCTCCGAAGGTAAAAGCAGGGAAAAAGAGGGCAAGCATCCTGCTACAACAACTGCGGAGAAGTCATTTTTAAATAAATGCTTAGAAGAATCTTGGAAAAAGACCATGCCACATGCTACAGAGGAATGCAAAACCCCATACGGTCCATGCCAAACTGGCCTAGGGGAAACATTCTTTCTTCACCCCAGACATGGCAAAGGAGCATGAACCTGAGCAAAAGATTCCTGCCTTTTAAGCAGGAATCTCTGGGTTTTCTAAGTACTGGTAGAAGCATCAGCACACTCCAGTAAAAAACTGCCAGCCACAGCTGTGGCCAATGTCCAAGTGCTTCAGAGGAAGTTCAAAACCCACCCAAGGTTATCTAGCAGCATTCATGGGGGGCGGGAATTCATTCCTGGCCTCTACTGGTGATCCCATGATGCATGGGATTGTCAGACACCCACCACACTATAAGAGCTCTCTCTATAACCCAACATGGGATTGTAAATAGACAATTCTACGTATCACACATGCTGACCGGTGGGCCAGAATTCCCTAACAAATACTCACAAAGATTTTATCCTCTGCCCTAGTCGATAGAAGTCAGACGGCATTAAATCCAATTCTCAGTTTCAGTTCTCAAGTCTTATTGCCACATGCATACTCTCTGTCACAACTAATTTGTTTCTAAAATTACCACCATCAGGCACAATGTCAGGCAGCCAATACACCCATGTGTGCACTGTGTCTACAACATGAAAGATGAGAACAAACATTGATATGCGAAAGGACTGGTCCTTGGTGCAAAACAGTAAGGGAAGGCTTTGCAGAGAGCTGAGATAACCACCATTCACACCTGCTGAAAATTTCATTTGTCAGTACCACAAGGTTTCTTTTCCTTCCCCTCCAGGAGAAACTAAAACAGCTTTCGCTCTACAAGAAAAATTGCTTAAAAAACCACCACCAAAAATAAGATCCAAAATATTTATACATTACTGATTCATTTAAAAGTAGTATGTTTTCAAAAAAATCATTTCCTTGGAAATTTGTTATTTATTACTTATTGTTTGTGTTCAGGTAGCACCAACAGCAAGGTGCTAGGATTCCCTTCCAGGGTGCCACAGTACAGGTGCCACTGGAGTTAGGTAGTACTGCTCCATTCCCCTCCTGTAGAGACAAAGCAGAAAGCAGCTCTCCCTGCAATCTTTCTTGCTCCAACCTCACAGGCTCAATTCCAGAAACAGAAGCATGCTAGGCAGGTGGGATCATCCCACACCCCTGTTTCCGGGAGAAGCATGAGGGACAGACCAGGAAGGGCTGTGGCAAGTCTGCACACTCCAGCTGCAGCCCTTTATACTGCTCAGCTGGAGGGGTCCGGCTGGGCCGTAACACCCCTTTGCACAAGCTGGATGGAGGAGTAGAGTGCCGGCCCTCAAGGGCACAGGGGTAGGACTGCCAAGTCTCCCAGGCTGGCTGGGAGTCTGCTGGAATCGGCATTGATCTCCCGGTGACTATTGAAAGCAATTCTGGAGATTGATATTGTGAACAGGTTGAACAGTATAATTAATGACATTACATCACGTTGGAAAAAAAAATCTCCCAGAATAGCTTCAGTCAGAGTTGGCAACCCTACACAAGGGAGTTCAGCCCAGGGCACACA